GGTGAAGTTGCTTTTGTGTTTTTGCTCGTAGCGTCGGTGCTCTGTCAAGTGGAACCTGTGGGAAGATGGTTTGAGGCGTTTGTCAAGAGGAGAAACGTAAATGTTTCTGCCTCTTTCCAGGAGCTGGAAGATGAGAAGGAGCTTTCCGAAGAGTCGGGGGATGAAGAATTGCAGCTTGAAGAGTTTCCGATGCTAAAAACCCTCGATCCGAAGGACTGGAAGGTACTCGGCTGGTGTAGATCGGCGTCAGTTGCGTTTGCGGGAAATCTCCGGTCGAAGTTGCCCGCTGTGCCCGGCTGCTGCAGCTGCCCTGTGCCCCCCTCCCGGCCCGCTCCCCGCTGGCCTGTGCCCCTCCGCTCGCCGGGATGGGGTCTTCGTCTTGAGCTGCTGGTTTTCGTTTGGCTGCCTGTAGGCAGTGGAAGTGTCTCGTCTCCCTGTCACCGTCTCCCTTGCTCTGGAATTGCGTTAGCACTCTTACCATTAAAGACAGCAGTTCAGTTGTCCACTGATAACTGAACTTTCTCAGATTCGGTGCTTTAATCCAGTTTAGATTAAGCTTCTCGAATGTCTGTAACAGTGGCTTGATTTATTGATATTTGTTTATTCAGTAATTATGGTCTTTACAACAATTGTTCTTTTTCTAATATTAATTGAGAGAGGGAATAAGTCTCTTTCTTTTAAAAGACGGGCAGGAGAACCGTTTTTCTGCATATGTCGGGTTGTGGCTTTTTAGGTCACATCAGTGTTTATTAGTTGTTTTGGTTTTTTTCCCCTCAGAATCAAGACCATTATGCCGTTCTTGGGCTAGGCCATATACGATACAGGGCTACTCAGAAACAAATCAAAGCGGCTCGTGAGTACCTTTCCTTCATAAGCATCCTTTCTTCCAGATACACACAACTGTTTTCCACCTGAAAATACACACATGTCATGAACAAGCTTTTCACTGTTTCACAGACCTAAAAACGCCCGCTCTTTGGTTTGTGTTGCTCACCAGCCTGCTCGGGTCACGTCACAGCTCCAGAATCCACAGGCCTAAAGCTGGGGAATTCAGAACTTTCACCAAGTTCACATCTTGGCTTTCTTGCCTGTGTTTTTTGTCAACAACCTTGAGATTGTAACTGTACATTTCTGCATTAATGCTAGCGACCGTTTAAGCAGTGCGCTGCCATTATCATTCTGGTTAGGTGGAGCATTGCGTGGGAATGGAGCAGCAGCTCCTGAATTTTCAGGTGTTCAGCTAACTAAAAGTTACTTCGGCCACTGAGAAGCTTGGGTTTGCTCCTCTTTGGTCATTTTGCCACGTGAGAACTGCAGAGTTCCTGTGACTGGATCTCTGGGGTGTTACCAAGCTGTTAAAAACGTAGTCTTGTGAGGTCCCCTTTTCCCTTGTAAACAATGGAACTTGGAAGTGCCACTGTGCTGCTTAATGGGCGTGTGTCTTAAATCGTGACGCAATTCGGAAGTGCTTGCAGGTGATTGAGGGGTATTTTGTGGGACTGGCATATGAAGGAACAACATGTTGGGCTTCAGAACTTTTATGCCTAGAAAGCAATGTGACCAAGAGTTGGCTTTGCAGTAAGAATGCAGGTATTTAGTGGAGGAAGATTTAAAACTCCGGTGAAGATTGTTCAATAGCCTTTACGAAATAAGTCAATGGTTTTGTGAATTGATCATGCAAGCCGTTGCCTGTGTAACTGTACTGATGGGAGCAGAATCGCTGTCCCCAGTGAAGCCACAGATGACAATGATTAAGTTACTCCCAAATGAAAATGGGTAGAAATTAGCAAATTACCAACTCGCGCAGGAAATTGTGTTGCCTCAGGTACGCATTGCGTAGCAGTGCCACCATGGAGCATGTGCTAGTACAGCATAGAGCAACACCTCTTCTGGTGATGGTGAGTGGTCTCACAAGTCTTGTTGAGCCAGAACTGGGGCATCTCTCTCTTTAGGATCCCAGCAGCACTCGATTATTACGTGGTGGTACAGAGATGTGAGTCTTTCTCAACAGCATGTACTGTGCTTTTCCTATTTTTAACAAGGATTCTATGCTGATTTGTTTCTCAAAAGGCAGGTTGCTTTAACTACTTGCATGATATCTTCTCTCTGATACTTTATAGTGAGCCAAGAAGGTACATTTTATGTTGTACAACAATGTGGCTACACCTTTTGGCAAAGAAGTCAGTTTAAAATCTGATTTTACTGTTCAAACACTGAGACAACCCTGGCAGTCACTTTAGTAGATACTCTGTACGTGCTAGTTGTATCTTGGGACTGAAGGCGTAAGCAGAGAGAGAACTTGGCCACAAAGTCTTGTGTGTGCGCTTCATGTTGTCCGTGGGTAGGTGCAGCAGTCTTCGCCGGGCTCAGGGCCGTAGTTTCCTTCATAAACTTCATCCTGGGTTGCATTCAGAACTTAAGTAAACATATAGAATACAATTTTTGTTTTAGCTGAAGTACTTTGCTCTTCATTAAAAATAACTACTAAAATTACGTTAATGATTTTCCTTTATTTTTTCAGTATGGTTGCACAGGGAAATGTACAGTCTTGCACAATTAGGGTCCTAATTAGGGTCCCAGAAAATGAGTACTTCTTCAGCTGAGGAGGGTGGAATGGAGTTCCTGAGTTGTGGTTATTTTGTGTCCCAGCAAAGACGAAATAATTTTAATTCTGACAATAGTGTTAAATCAAAGAAGGTTCATTAACTCACAAGTGTTTACTTCACAATGTTTTTTGGGGTTTGTTTTTTCTTATTTTACTTTTTTCAAAGCATCTGTTCAGAGAAGTATCAAATGGAATTATTGTATTACTTTGTGAGAAACAAATTGTTGATAATGAAGCTTTTCTAAACCTAATGCATCTATTTGCTAGATAAATCCATGGTTTTGAAACATCATCCAGACAAGCGAAAAGCTGCAGGGGAACAGATAGGAGAAGGTGATAATGATTATTTTACATGCATAACTAAAGGTAAGCAATTGATCTCTTTTATTAGATATTCTCTCGATCTACTTGGCTATCTGAAACGTATTTGTAGTGCTTTATTAGGCTTTTAAAAAATTGACAATTACTAGAAAGCCAGGGAAGTTCTTTTTCCATTTTAGAAAACTGCCTCAATGAATCGAGATCACATTACTGTAGCTTCCCTCTGGGTGGAAGCCGTGTGGGAATGCCAGTGCTAGGGGTTTGCCGTGCCACAGTGGGGACGCTTGTCGCAGCGTATGCAGAGACGAGCCACTAGAGGAAGCCACGTGCCTGGGATGAACGGGTTTATACAGTTATAAAGTGATTCCCCTGAGACACCAACAGCAACTGGAA